CTGCGGTTATTTGTATAGACTAAGGGTGACAATCGAGCATACAGTCCACCTGATGGTAAGTAGATACTGTGGTCCATGGACATTTATATCTATCCTTAATTAAGAATCAAAATGCAGATTCGTTGTAACCCCTGAGGATTAAGATGGAATGCCTCTGTGACGTTTTATAATTATTATTAATAAATAATAATTAAATTCATTAAAATGTCTTTTTAATTATATTTTAAACAATTAAAATGCAAGGAAAAAAATTATAAAATTCAAATATACTCATTTGGAATATTGAATATTATAGTATAGTAAACGCATAAAATTGTCTTTAAAAATCTCTAAATTTATTAAAATTCTGTTTAGTAGATTACATTGCAGATAAATAACATCTGTAATATAATTGAAAAAATGGATCAAAAATTTTGTTGACGTAAGTGTTCTTGTATTACTCGGAAAATTTCGGAAAGTTAAAGTTTCAAGTTCGCAACTGAAAGACTACGCATTGACTCTACGCACGGAACGGAAGTTCATCGCACCAGGCGCGCCTAACCAGGGAGGCGAGTGGGAGCGCGAAGATCTTATTAAGAAGAAATACGCTAGGGACGTCGCTCAACTACAAGAAGAAACGGATAGGGATAGTTTGAACAAGAACGATTTAGCGGAAAATAGGGTACGTGTTGATAGGTGGTTAGAGAACGTGGAGACTATGCGGGGGGAGCCGAATGCTGCCCGTCTCAGTCCGCGCCCCGCATCGAGATAGAGCAGGCACCGTCGAATAGGGGAACCGGTTACGTGTACGCTGAAGATGCCCAGGGGAGGTCGGTTGCGAATAACAATCAACCACGTCACGTAGATACGATACAGAGGGACAATGGAGTCGCCGTAGAAATGATCCAGGTAGGTCGCCGTGTACGGGTTACGTCGCCGTCACGCGTCCAACGCCGCACTCTATCGCCTATACGTAGAACGCCATCGCCACATCGCTACGCGGATCGTAGATTACCGTCGTCGTGTCGCCCTGATGTAGGTGTACGTAGGTCGCCATCGCCACATCGTAGATTAGAGGGTAATAGGAATAGAGGTAGGTCGCTCACCCCGAGAGGAAAAAATAGGGGCATAGAAACACTAGCGGAAGCCTTGGAAAGCATGATTAGACCAGCCGCCGCGAAGCAGACACAGGAGTTGCCTATTTTCAACGGCTCGACTGCGGAATGGTTATCGTTTAAAGCCGTGATGAAGGAATCCACGCGTCTGTATGGGTTCACAAATAATAAGGTTAAGAAACTGTTTACGTGGTGAGGCTAAGGAGGTAGTATCGGCGCTGCTGTTTACCGCGAAGGATCCAGCATACAATATGCGGACACTGGAGCAGTGTTTCGGCCGCCCGGAAGTAATTATTGATCGTGCGTTAGATGATTGAAAACACTTCCGCGCCCGGGTCAATTAAATTCGTTCGCTATTAAGTTGCTAAATATAGTATGTATTATGCAGAACGTCGACGGCAAGGCACGTTGCGGCTTCCGATCGTCTTCAAAAAGACGCACGTATTGGTTGCAGTTCCCGCCGCAAGGGCGTTACCAGGCGATCACAGTTTGGCACCGTTAGGGAGCAATCACCTGGCCGCGTAAACGCGGTTAAGAAACAAGAAAGTTTTCTGGAAACAGACAATAGACGTAAATATAGACGTAGACGTAGTATTGTCAGAAACGGGGATAAAATTGGTTAACTGACGACCTTCTTTCTTCGTCGATGAACTTCTTTCTTCTTCGATGATCTTCTATAATGATCTTCTTTCTTCTGTTTGGCCTTCGGATCTTCCAGCTTCTTTCTTCTGGCTTCTATCCGGCGACGATGGACCAAGAATTGTAGTAGACAATTCTTGTATCTTCTGTCTTCAATCCGGCGTCGATGGACCAAGAATTGTAGTAGACTATTCTTGTATCTTCTGTCTTCAATCCGGCTCGAAGGACCAAGAATTGTAGGGGACTGCAGTGGACTGTATGCTTTTATTGTAATTAACTAACTGACTAACTGTGTGACGACCGATGCTATGTAGGGTAAACTATGCTAGGGACTGTTTAAGAAAAGATGGTACTGTAGACGATTATATATTCAAACTATTTACAAGTGGCTTTTCACTAAACTATATATACACAGAGGGGAATCTTCAATGGAGTATTAATTTTTCTCTCTTGATTTCGCTCGAGGTTTCTTCTCTTCCTGTTGTCTTCAAGTACCGCTTCGGAAATAAACAGCTCACAGGCCAAAACGCCCATCTTATATTTCAAAATAGAATGTCTCGGCATGTGAGTGCTATTGTAAGATGTGCCGCGCGCTGATTGGTTGGCGACATCGCGTGATTTGCTGGCGGTGTGCGCAGTGCGCGGGGCCCAATGGGGTATGAAGTTGCGACGGGGTGGCGGCTATTAAAAATTACATATCGAGGTTTCTCTAATTGTGACGCAGTCTTAATAGACCAGGAATGCTTAGTTGCTGTAGGAAGTAAAGGGTATTCATATAAATCCCAATTTCTAAATGCCATCTGTATAGGTTTATCTCTTTCTAAATGTTTAAGAAGTTTCATTCGTTCACGATCAGATACTTTCACATGTGGCACTCGCCATTGTATTCTTTGTATGTCTATTTGAAAATGTGCAACATATTCAGTTCCTATAATACTATTTATGTTAGAATTACTTCTGTTCAGCATACGTTCATGTTTACAATTTATTACAATTTTAGCATAATCTTCTGCAAACCCTAAAATCTTATTTAAAGGTACAGTAGCACTAAAATAACTGTTTTCACTTTTAAATCCATCCATATCTCAACCCCACAAAGCTGCTACTTTATTTTCTGCTTCATTCATTGAAATGTATGATTTAATTGTTGACGAATTTTTAATTCGATCTATTTCGATTCCATTTATCTCATACCTTATGTCTTATTATATAGAAACAAGAACATAATAGGATTATTACTGAACGTAACAGGTTTTTTAATCTGGTTTCCATCTTTGCTGAAGAGATTTGCACGACCTTCGATGTAAATTGAACTGGCTGATGGTAATACATATATGTCTTGCTGATGTATGGGAATTCTTATTTCATCGTTTTATCTAAAGCTATTATTATATGGATTATAAGAATGGACTTCATAACTTTCAATAGAAGTATCGAAGTTTGGTAAGTCATTAATCTGTAGTATATTCATACTTTAAATCCTAAGGACTTTAGAAAATCTTTATTATTTTTACTCAAGGTCTTAAATTTTTTCTCACGTCTTCGCACCTTAGTGAGTGTAGAAGTAATAGGGCGCTTTAAGTAGACTGTAGGGTTTTTATAGTGCAATATCATTTTACTTTCCTCAAATGGAGGCGAATTTCAATATATTGTTCTTTGAAATTATGTAATATTATTTTTATTCACTGGGAAGTAAATACCGTTCTGAGGTATTTCTATGTATTGATTATCTGCAGCAGTTTTAGATACAAATTCGTGAATAATATGAGTAGGTAACCTGTTGCAATATGAGCCGTATATGAGATCACATTCGATTCTGATCACAGATGGGAACTTGCTATCAACATAAGAAAATTTTGTTGTTTTGTTTATTACTGAAAATTATAGTAAACCGCACTCGTATTGACCTGATACACTCAGAGGCGGTTGAAAGTAGGAATCCAATTCTGATTTATTTCCTGAGATAGTAACTGTTACAGACATGCTTGTATACTGAGCAATTTATGAAGTTCTTGTTTATTTTATGTCTTGATTGCGCAAAAAATTCTCCAAAACAATCAAACAAAGATGTCCACAATTAAAAGGATGATCACCCTTTATGTTATCATAATTATAGTGGACTAAAGTCTTCAGAACTAAAGACTTAAATATTTTATCAATTCCATTGGAGGTTTAAGATTTCCATAACTGTCGAAATATTCAACATAATTATTTAATTTTACATAGGCTACCCAATGAGATCCCGGATTTGAGGAAATATCTAAATTTATAACTCCACATTCTTTTTTAAAAGGGTGTGTTGGGAGCTCATATCACACCTCGAAAATAGGGAATATTTTTTACATACTTTAAAATGTCAATGTTAGTTAAGGCGCGTTTGGGTAGCCTATATTCTAGTTTTCTATTTCTTCAGATACAAAAATGCCAAATCCATTTTTATGAGGCTTAAACTGTAACCCATTTCCGATACAAAGAGCTTCCATTTTTCATTATGTCTCTTCAATTCAGCAAATTGTTTTTTAGCCATTTTGATTTCATTTATAGTTTTAAGTATACCAGCTGCACCACCTGCTAAGGCTCCCGTAGCCGATAATCCAGCAAAAATCGGAATCAAAGGTTGTACCCCACCAGTTTTTTGTATAGGAATAATGCGAGGAAGTTTTATAACAGAATTATCAACAAGTTCTCTAGCAGCAGCTATAGCTAGCTCAATTGCTGCTTTCTTGCATTTTGGTTTTAATTTTTGCATACGTCTTTTCGTTTTTGTAATGATATTCTTAAACTTATTTTTAAATTCATTCCCCAACATTCTCGGAGACATTTTATTACTATTGCCATTATTTAGGCCAGACCCAGTTTTAATTTTTGATTGCATAGCTTTGCTTACTATCTTTGCTGCTAACTTTTCTCCCAAATTTGCATCGGGAGCAATCTATCGCGTTTTTACCATTTTTAACAAAACTAAATCCGCCTTATGTCGATCCTTTAAGTTTGAATATTTGTGATACGTAATATTCTTTACAATTTTCGTCTAATTTGTTTATACGTTTGACTCCACGTGATAGTTTTTTTGATTAAATTTGTACCAGGACCACAATAATTGTATCCCGGTAAATGTAATTCAAATGGTAAATTATTAATCAACCAATTGAGAAGACTACTCTCGCCAATGTACATCATAAGACTGCTTAATCGCGGTTGGGATATTTATTAAATATATTTTTTCTAATTTGTTCTTAATGTTAAACACAGTGGTCAGTAAGTCTATTATAATATATTTGACTTATCGATCCAACTGTTTTCACTAGAAGATAAACCTAGCCATTTTACTAAAACTTTATTTCCTTTCTTTCTTAAAACTTTTTCGACTAAATATATGTTTGGATTTTTGGTCTTTTGTAGCTCTTGCGCATAAAATTCTCCTAAAATTGGTTGACCTCTAATTGTATCTTCAATTAAGTAAGAGGTTGGAATTGTGTTCTGTAATTTTCGAATTTTAAATATTTCTGTCGACCAATTTGGAGTATATCCTTTTTCGAATGTACCTTTGTATTTGCTTATATGCACATAATCACCTAATTTAAACTTACGTTTTACATTATCATTCTTTACGAATCTAAGGTATCTTTGTAGTATTCGTTTTTTACTTTTATTATTAACATTGGCTGGAATTTCACCAATAGTTCGATGATAAGTGTGATTGTATTCGTAAATAACATTATTAAGAGTATCGCCTATCCAGTTATAACTACCCTGTAATTTAAATGCTTTATACAATTTAGAAAGTTCGAATAAAGCCTTCTTTGTTGAAAAGGTTGAGTAATGATTAATATTATAAGAATTTATAATTTTTTTAAACGTATCGTTATAAAATTCTGTTCCATTGTCGGTTTGCAGATTTTTGTGTACACGTGTTATTAGGAGCTTCATAAAGTTATAGCATACGTCCTCTTTACTTTTAGTCTTAATTGGAAAAGCCGAAGCGTATTTCGAAAATGTATCAATAACGGTAAGAATAAATCTGAAGTTTTTGTTTTCCTTAGAAACTGATTGCATATCAATTAAGTCTGCTTGCCATAAATCATCTATATATTTCGTAAAAAAAATTCTACGTGGGAAACTCACCCTAGCATTTCTATGAATTTCATTTACTACATCGGCTTTACTCATGTTCAAAAAAATAATGTATTTTATTTTATTCTTATGTTGGTAGTTATTAAAAATAATTCGTTTATACTGCTTGTTACTTAAATAAATACAGACAATTTTTTAGTAATTTGCAACATGAGGAACTTCACCAATACTGAGTAAAAGCTAGGAATAATTAGTATTTTATTCCTTTATAATGTTAGCTTCTTTTAATTCTTCAATCATCGATAAAATTTCATTATCATGATTTGTATTGCCCGCATCTCTTGAAGCTATTAAAAGTTTTAATCTATCAACTAATTCATTTAGATCGTCCCAATATAGAATATCAGTGTTGATTTTATATTATTTCTTAAGCTAAGGTAAATTACCTCCAAGCTTTTCCTCGATTTTTTTATATTTGATTAAAGTCTCGAAAAATAATGGTTTAATTATTTTTTGATATTTAATTCCCTTATCACCTCTTATTTGACCTCTAGGGTTAAAATCTCTCTTATGAGCGTTAGTATGGTGTAGAATATCTTTGTACACGAGTTTATCGGCGCTTGATACTAAATTCAAATCAGGTTTTTTTCTAAGTAGAAGTTCTCTTAACCCGATAGTTAAATTGTAAGATTTGTCTCCAATTTTTACTAAAAATACAGTTTCGTTATCCAAACTGTCAATGTTAGAAAAAGTAACTTCTGAATTTCCCATCATGTAAGTTTTATTTTCTTTTCTTATCCCAAATGGTATATTTAATTTATCATCGTAAATATCATAGATATAATTCCGATCTAATGAAGCTTCTAAATTGTCTTTAATTTCATTTTTTGGGGATTCTTTAGAACTCAAGTCAGCATCGTAATAGTTCTGAAATTCCGATTCAAATGATCCAGCAGAACTTGCGCATGATTGCATCGATAAATTATGGTCTTGATTTGGTTTTTGCTTATTTACTATGATTTTAAGGGGCTCTGTAACAGGCTTTAGCATTTTATCTAGGGATAAGTTCAGTTCATGCTCATTATTTTTCATTATTTTTTATTTTATTCTTTATGGAGTCCACAGACTTCATTAATTCCATTTTAATTTGCTTTTCCATAATGCTTTACAATACTTCATTGTATCGCGGCTACAATAAAATTAAATAGTTTTATCTGAAAAACCCGTTTATAATAGTTTACTCTTGGTGAAAAAGAATATCAAAATTCTTTCTATACCTGCCATTGTTTGACGGTGAGTTTTTGTTAATACAAACAAAATTATACGGCTTACTCCAAACTATATTACAAATATTTTTAAATTGATTCCATGACATATCAGAACTAATATGTTCTTCATAAATATGGTTTAAGTTCACATCATCTTGTTTAAATATTATAATAAAATTGGCATTGTCTCGTAGCAATTGTTTCGGAATTTTTGAGTAGGTCTGAGATAAATAAAAGCAATCGATTTGCTTATGCCTGCCTATCAAAAATAAATACAGAATTGATTAAAGCTTCACTTGGACCTATAACGTCTTTGTTATCATTGAACTCATAAAATGAAATATTAGGCACTTTCTTAATTACTTCTCGTAAAAGACGATATTTTGGTTCATAGTTAGTTTTTGAATACAAGTAATCTTGTGAGCAGAGTGATCAATATTAATATTGCTAACGCTTAGCGATATGGGTTGTTTGATCAACTTCATCGTGCTTATTGAATGAGTTACTAACCTACAAACATAGGTATATATTTAAATTTTGTATGAACAATATTAGAGAGAAATGCATGTCACATCATGTCTGTTCTGCTAAATGTTCTCCTATTCTCGTGTTACATATTTCTTAGTAGATCTATGCTTACTTTGCAAAATAATGCTATTCTGATCTTACAAATCCTGAGTATATTATGCTTATTCTATAAATTATACAATACTCTCATTTACTCATCTTACAACACGCGATCACGTCATTTCGCTACAGTACTTTCTATAAAGAGCACGTCTGTTTCTTTAGCTGAAATTTTTAGTAAGCACTTTAAATGAAATATTTAAATAATAAAGTAACTTATTCTATTTTCTATTGTAATACTAACTCTTATAAATGTAATAAAATATGTAACTTATAGTCATTTTTGTTTTTCAGAAACATGTCACATACACCATCTTACAGTCCTGTTTTGGATAGCTTAGAAAATATACGTGAGGTAAGTTACTATTTACTTTTTATTATTTTTAATTGATTTTAAATTCATGGGTAGTGATTTTATATCTGGCTTTCAGAATTTGATAGAAAACTCAACCCAATTACTAATCCATTTTACTATGCTCAAGATAGGCAAGGCTGGTACGATGAAGTGGCGACAAAGACGTGCGAGCAGAGCCGTTGCCAAAATCGGAGGAAAAAATAAAAAAGAAAAAAAATCAAATCAAATTCTTTGAAAAATACATCATTTATCATGCGAAAGGAAACGGGTGATGTACGTCATTTAATAAAAATTATAATACATGATTTAGATGGTCGTAATATCGATGAAATAAATACTGAATCTGGAAATGCAGCTGTGAACGTGCAATATCTAGTGACAAGTGCATATGATGACATCATGGATGAGACAGAACATTTAGTTTGTAAAGTGGTAAAAAAACTAAGCAAATCTAGTATTTAAGTTTGAAATCAATTAATAAAATTTATGTTAATAAAATGTCTATAAATAAATGATTAATTTTTTCGACATGTATAACTCTGTTGTAAAAGTTAAGTGTATTTAAATCTATTGTTTTTATGTAATATTTAGTATTTAAGGATCTAATGGGATGATAAATAAAACAAAATATGATTATGATAATACAGTATTTTTATTTCAACTTACATATAAAGGTTTTTATATTTTAGCTAGAGTTATAATACGACATACTAGTTACAATATAGAACATTTTTGCAGTAAAGAATATTCAAAATAAAGTAATTTGTTTTCATTTGCATATTATGTTTATGTTTATAATTTTTTTATAAATTACTATTACTTTATTTCATCATTTAATTCTTCATTATTTCATATTTCATCATTAGTTAAAATATAATGCTATTTAAAATGAATTGCTATAATGTCCCCAAGGTAAAGATTTATACATATCTTCACATATTTGTCGCTTATCATCATTGCCACTAAGAATGAGCTTATTTATTTTTTGCGTATAAAGTATATGATTCTTAGATCGTATTACGTACATAGTGTCTCTATGCGTTTTTTTAGAATTTAAAATATCTCTATACTTTTCAATAGTAAATTTTTTTGTAATATGCTTTTTCACACCTTTTGCTTTTTTAATTGCAGACTTTAAAGTATTAACGCAGTATAATTTTGCTTTCAAGCTTATAAACTCTGTTATAATATCACCACCTAATTCATCTTTAAAATACCCTGGTATTTGTTTATTTGCTTTTGGAATATGGTACATATTATTTTCAAGAAAATTACTTGTATCAAAGTACTTAATATTATCTTTCATATCTTTATAGAAGTCTTCAGTGTAAATACAAAAGACTATCTGTATCACTTTTGTTGGTTGGAGTTGAATGGCTACGAGGCTACCAGAAATAATTGTAAAATTTTTAAAATTAGGCGCACTAACATATTTTTCGGCACCACAGACTTTATTTGTGTTATTAACATTATCTTTCCATACATTTACTAGCTTAACATCGACTTGTTTTGTTTTGTTCACTATAGTTTTTCCAAAAATTGAATTGTTTTGTTTTTTAAAAAAGTATCTTTCAAGAATGAAAAGATTCTTCATTCATTCTTCAAGATTTCAAAAGATGTATTTAGGGAAATATATGGCTCTAGAAATGGTTTTTGATTGAAAGCTAAAATCCTATGAATCTTCAATAAAACAAGTCCGTTTCTTAGGCATTCTTGTAAATGACGGTAATGGATAACATATTTATATTTATCATAGAGATTCGCAACCAATTTCTTATTACTAATGTTTGATGATATTGGAACTGTTAATTTTTCTGCTGCATATGGTAAGTCAGAATGTTCGTCATGAATATTGCGTGGATATTGCATGTCAACTTCGAGTATATATCCTTCATTACTATTAGAACTAGTAGAGTTAATATCAAAACTTCTTAATTCTAGTTGTTTAAAAACCGAAAATTTTTATAAGGTAGTTGCTGCATCATAGCATAACCATACAAATTTACACAATCTAAATAAACTAAGAAAGAATTTGGATCTTCTTCATTAAAATTTGGTAAGTATTTGTTATTAGCGTTTGCATACCTTAACGAGCATTGAGATGGGCTATCTCAATGCTCTTCTCATTCTCATTCCTCTTATACGATTTTCTAAAAATTGATAAATTTGTATATTGTAGTGTTATGCTACTCACGTATCATTTTACATTATTTTAAATTCATTTTTCCATTATGTTTCGATTTTCTGCATTCACCTCAAAATTGGATATTTTACATCACCTTTATTTCCATAGGATCCTGTAACGATTTTAAACCATAAGAACACAATAACAAATCATTTCTACTTCGTATTTTCACATTATCAGCACTTTTAAATTGGTGTCAATGGAGTCTACCTTTTTTCGATCTTTTAGCTAGTTTTCCGTAACTCTACAATCTTGGACTTTGTGTGGGCAGTTGCGCTACCTTTTTTCCTATATCAATAATATCTCATTTTCCACTTAAATCTTATAGTTTTCTTATTATAAACCAAAAACAAAAATTTGACATGTTTTGTATTTCTTATTTATATCGTTTCCATGGAAATTATATTCAAATTTGCTACCGACCTGTTATTCCTATTTCGATAATTACACATAAATCCTCTTTTCTCTTGACCATTTACAAAAAATTTGCGTATAATTTAAATAATTTTTCCGTTCTCTCTAGAAAGGTATAAAAGCCGAACAATCG